TTTTTTTTAAATTGGTTGTACCTATATATTTTTAATTGAGATGTCATGAGTCAATTTTTATCCAAGACGATGCTTGATTATTTATTATCTAGTGATTGTTAAATAGTGTTAGAGTTATGAATAGATATTGTTAGGTTTTTTTCTTTGGTAAGTTGGTTTGTAACTATTTTAGTCACAAAAGATAAAATAGACTATTTTAGTCACAACAAAAAAAACATTACATCTAACCCATAATCATTACACACTTTTCTCACAAAAAAATTCAAAAAGCTCTTGCCAAACCAAACTTTTAGCCCAGGTTAAAATAGCTAAAAAAGTCAAAAAACCAGAAAATCAACCCACTTCTCAAACGGAGGCTTAAATAGTTGATTGTCCAATTATAAATTGTTTTGGTATTTATAAAAGAATATAATATTCTCATACTAATTGGATTAAAAAAAACAAAAACAAAAACAAACAAACAAAAAAAAATTGGTATTTATCTACTAGGTAGCAACCAGCTGATCGGCTGATACTGGGGAAATAACAACCCAGTGTATTAGTGTGTTAGTGAAAAAAAAAAAAATTATTATAAATCATTGATAAAGTTTATAAATTTTAATAATTAAAATATTATATTTTTTTATGATTTTGTTATCACTCCTGCCATTTTCCCATTAACATTTAACCCTAAGGGTTTAGAGATGCACTCTCTCTAAGTCTTAGATTCAACTATTATGAGCAATTCGCCCTTTAAAGCCAAGTCTGTAGACTTTACTTGAGATTTGTCTAATTCATGTGAAGGAAGCATTTTGCAGGAGTCTCAAAATTAGTCGAGGTAAGCATAAATTGGTTCGGACACTTAGTCATAAAAAAAATTCCCATTAACATTTACCTCTATGTTCATTTGTGATTTTATGTTTCTTTTTTTTTAAAAAATTATTATTCGTATTATTCCTTGCTGTGTACTAAAGTTGGCAAGATCATTGTGACAAATATTCAATGTGTTTGGTTTGAGTTTTTTGGATTAAGTTTTTTGAAAATTGAGTTTTTTGGTTTTCGTATTCTTTTGTTTTTAGTGAATATTTTTTTAACTTTTTTAGATGCACCTTAGTTAGATGTATCTAAAAAGTAAAAAATTTGTAAAAAAAATATTTTAAAAAATTAATAAATACATAGAAATACAAAAAATAAACTAAATTCTTGTATTTTTTGTATTTTTGATATTTAGTGAATTTTTAAAAGATTTTTTTTACAACTTTTTTTTACTTTTTAGGTGTATTTATGTTATGTGTGTCTAAAAAGTAAAAAAAATTACTTAAAATATTAAAAAAATTTAGTAAAAATAAAAAAATACAAAAAATAAGAAAGTGGATTTTTTTGAAAAGTGTTTTCTGAAAAATGAAAACAAGCAAGCTGATTATTGTTTGCAAATTTTGTTGGACGGCAAAGTTGATTTGAAAGTGTTTTGAAAAGTTGGTAAAAAATTAATTTTTTAATTTTTTGACTTTTTGAATGACGTTTTTGACCCAAAAAAAATTACTTTTTTATATAAAAAAATTAAAAAACCAAAAAATTAATTTTTTTAACCTTTTTTTTTTTTTTTTTTTGAACCATTTTTTTTTTTTTTTGAACCAGGTAATTTGCCAATGACCCCTTCGTCTAATGTACTTATTTGTGGGTATGAAGGTTTTGGCTCTTTGCGTGTCCTTGTCACAACAAAAAGTAACAAAAAAAAAGAAAAAAAAAATCCAAACTGCTTAAATTCCACGCGGTAGACAGATTACTATTCCAAACAAATTGTATGTATGAAAGGCTGCTTAAGCGTCCATATCCCAAAGAGTGATGTTTATATGTATCAACTAATATATTAATTATTATATCAATATTAGTTATAATGTTATTATTGATTTCACTCATTATATAAATTATAAGAATAAAGATGTGGACCCTCTTTCCTCTCGCTCCCTTTGACCCCCTTTCTTTTTTGATTGGTCACTTTTTCTTTTTCTTTTTCTTTTTCTTTTTTTCTTCTCCTTCAATCACTACCCACCACGTGTGTGTGGGGTAGTGGAGGTTGAAGTTTGAGGGGTCTAAATCACTGCTGAAATTATAAATATTAAAAATATATTAAATTATAGCACATCATTAATTAGACTTTTTGTTTGTATATGAGTTAGTTGGGTAATTTTGCATTCCAACTCAGGTGTTTTAGTGTTTTGTGATTTTGTAAATTTTTTTTGCCTATATGTAATTAGAAAAATGCTTCCTGCCCCCATTGGGGGTCGACCCCCAGTGAGGTGTCGCTCCAGGATTGGTCCAAAAAAAAAACTGTTTTTTTTTTTTTTTGAGTTTTCAGCCAGTGGGGGCGCGCCACGTCACTGGGGCGCGACCCCCACTGGGGGTATGCAGCGGGACTGTTTTGACGTTGTCAGCTGCAGTGGCGGTGGGGGTAAGATCATCTCCAACGGTAAATCAAATTTTTCATTAAATTTGAGTAAAAAAAAATTAATTTTCTCAATCTGATACCATTTGCTCCAATCGTGCATCAAAAGGGAAGTGGTCAACCGGTTGGTTGATCGGCCGGTCGACAGGTAAGGCAATTTTTATTTATTTTTACCTGTTTGAACCTTTTTGACCGGTTTGAACCTACCTATTTGAAAGGGAATCGGTCGACCGGTTGGTCTTCTCCAACGGTCACGCACATTAATTGGTGAAACCTGTATTCTGTTCTCAGTTTGATGATTTTTTTGTTCAATTCTCATTTTGATATCAGTTTGGTGAAACCGTTGAAGCTCCAAAAAGTGTATTTTTCACCAAATTTCAAATCTGATGTCAGGTTTGCTGAACCATTGGAACCGTTGGAGATGGTTTAAGAGACCGGGGGTCACGTGTCCCTGTGATTTTGAAATTTCCTTTTTTTAACATAAAGAATATATTTTAAACAAAAAAATACAAAAATATTATTAGAGTGAAATGTCAATGACATTTTAAAAATTATGAGAATAATAGTAATTATTTTGATTGGAAATAAAAAGACTATTATGAATCATATTATTTATGAAAATTTTATGAAATTTTTTGAATATAACGGTGATATTGTTAGTGACATGCAAGTATAAGTAATCTCACTATAAGGATGTGAAATTTATTGGATTGTTAATTACATTTGACATGTGATGTTCACTCTTTATGTGTTACCATTAGTGGGTAATATCGCATACTAATGATGACGTGTTATTACCATTATATTAAACTTTTAATCAAATTTTGAATAAAAAAATAATTTATCATTATATAATTTATTTTAAGACTTATATCCATATTTTTTTTGTATTGCCCATGATATACTAATTACAAATAACATTATTTTTGTGATATTTCTCGAAATCAATCATAAAATCTTGCGTAGAATATTTTTATAATTTTTTTTGATATTATAATTAATAAGTACCATTCTAATTTAATTTTCTAATTCCGCCATTGGTCAGCAATGACTGGTCGATACTTGTTTGTAGTTACTACTTGGATACGACATACAAAAGAGACTTATTTTAGGAAGTGTGTTAAAAGTCATTTCTCAACGTTTAATTCACTTCTTTTTCTCATAAAAAAATTAAAAAATAATTTTTAACCATCTTCTCAAAACATTCAATGTAAAATGGTGAAACGTCACACACTTTGGGACCCTAGTTTTTGAAGTGTTTATTATGAAAAGTCAACCATAGCATTTTCTGTTTATTACTATAGAGAATTTTTTGGCATTTTGTGCAAGCAATATCAAGTTGGTGCTTTTATTTTAAAAAAATTTGAGTGCATAAATTTGATTATATAATTAGATATAATTATCTTATATATATATATATATATAGTCACAGTTGATCCCTAAAATACGCGTATTATTGTTTTTCAAAAATATTTAATATTACAATATATATTATAAAAAAAAATTAAAGTATGATTTAATTATTTATTTTAATAATATTGACATTATCATTCTATAAAATTGTTACATGAATAATACTTATATATATTAATTTTAATTAAATTATTTGTGTATTTTGATAATTTTAATTTGATCATATTATAAAAATATAATTATCATATAATAATTTTGTATGATATATAAATTACAAATAAGTAAAATAAATACTCATTTTAATATTAAAAATAATAGTTAAATTAGAAGAAAAATTAGTAACATAAAATTAAAAGTAATTCTAACTATTTAATTTTCTTTTATGTTTATTTGAAAAATAAAATATGTAGAAATGGAAATTATATAAAATTTACTAAAAAAATTAATATAAATATGTTGCAATAAACACACTCTTAATTAAATTAAAATATCAACTATAGAAAAAAAATTCAACAATGACTAACCAAGAAAGAATCACATAACAATATCTAAATCCAAAAAAAATAATAAAAAATATTTAAACAATAGATACATCTCAGTGTGTAAAGTGATTAATCATCTATAATATGATGTCAAAACATAAAAGAATTTACTGTTCAACAATTGAAAAAGTAACTCAAACAGCAAATCAAAATTTTAGAGTTTCCTCTAGAGTATTATTGTTGTGTAGTTTTTTCCTCATGTGAGTTGCGATTATATAAAATAATATAGGAAATGAAGTATAATTTAATATATAGAACAACTATAAAATTTAAAAGACAAATCCATAATATATAATTGATATTAGGTATAGAATGATGCACAGCAAGATATATAAAAAAAAATAAGGCAATTTAGCATTAAAAAAAATCCTAACACCTTTGAAAGAATTAAGAAGAAAAACGTTTTAGTATTAAGTTTGTAGATTATTTCAATTTACCATGAAAAATATATAGAAAATAAATATTTGTGAAGTAGAATCCATATAAAATAGGTAAAGTTAATGTAATTTAAATTAGGTTGGGTTTGTATAAAACTCTATATCTAATTAAGAAAATACATACTGATGGGGCTTTCTTAGAAGAAAAAAAAAAAAGCTTACATGGTATGGGTGGAACCAGCAGAGGGGTGTGAAGGTAGGATTGATGATTTTAATATATATAGATATATATATATAATATACAATATAATATACAATATGCATCCACTTATATACAATATAGCTGTAAAGGATGTAAAGGCTCTGTAAAGACGTCCAAACACACCCACGAGGCCACATGGGAGAGAGAGAGAAAAAAAGAAAAAAAAAAAAAACATATGCATGTGCTCTCTCAGGATGGGTGCTCTCTTTGGGTGAAGGAGGAGATCAATAAAAAAATAAAAAAGAAAGGTGTGGAGGGGAGGAAAGTGGACCGCTCACGCGGTGGGATTATTAAAAAAATAACAAGATGTATGGTATTAATAAAAGGCATCTCTGCAATTGGAGCTGCAGGATTTTGCTGGGGTGCCAAGGTGGTCGTGGAACGATCAAAGTCTGATTACCTTCAAGCTGCGGTACTGTTACACCCTTCCCTTGTCACTGTGGATGATATTAAGGAACTGAAGGTTCCAATTGCTATATTGGGAGCTGAGATTGACAAAATCTCGCCACCGGAGCTTCTCAAACAGTTTGAGGAAGGTTTATCCTCTAAACGTGAGATAAATGGTTATGTGAAGATCTTTCCCGGTGTTGCACATGGATGGACAGTCAGGTACAAAGTGGATGATGAAAAAGCTGAGATCAAAGGCAAGCTATATGGCAGCAACTGAATCTGCAAAGGCAAAACTTAGAGCTCAAGGATCGCCAAGGTTGGGTCAAGATGGGGCTGAAAATGGTCAGGCAAAGCATATAGAGTAGTAAAATTGAAACAAAGGCATGGGAAGATTGTAACTGTCTTGGCATCTTATTATCAAAAATATTATTTTTGTTATCTCTGCATATGATTTAATTTTGTCTCACATCATCACTTGTTGGGTTAAGGGTTGTTAATGTCTCTAGTTCTCAACCTTTTCTTTTCACTTATATCTGCTAGTTATTATTATTTTTTCCTTTGTTAACTGTAGTCTCCTACTTGACTGGAGAGCCAACTATGCTAAAATCCACTGAAGATGCTGACCAAGGTTTTTCTCATTTAAGGAGAGGTAATCTAGCTTAACATGGATACTAGTTATCATTTATTACTTTTTTGTTTTTACTCCTTAAGCTTCTATGTTTCAAAGTCTAGATGCCATTACTTGTAAGAATTTATGTATTATTGATTGATATTTTGATTAGTTATATCTATTACAATTACAAGGATTCCTATTATATAGGAGTGTGTTTGGGAGTAGGTGGAGAGTAGGTGAAGTGGAGGTGGTAGTGGTGTAGTGGGTTAGGTTTAGTGGAGTAGACGGAGCCGTAAGGTAGTTTTCCACAACTTGGGGCGGTCACCTCAGCAGCCCTCCTTGTCCATCCCAGCATTTACTCGAATTTTCCTAAGAAAGATTATTCTTGTGGACGTGTGTTATGTATTATTAGTATTAGAGGCCAAGTCTTATCATCTTGTTAAAATGATTGCTTGAAATCTTCAACTTCGATGTATAAATTATAATTCCCCCCTCAAATCGTCGCCATTCAGAATTCACAGTTGCAGATATCTAGCAACCATGTCCAAAACCACAATTCAGGTTAAATCACAGCCGTTTATCAGAGACAAATTTTCTATATTTTTCCGAGCAACAGTGTTGGTTGCTCTTTTCATGGTTTTAGCTCTCTGCTCATTCTATACTAAGCCATGGCCTAAATTCTCCACTCCGAGTTCATTAATTGGCTCTAAATCAGAGGCTGATAACACATGTCACGACCCGATTGACGCAACGTTCTACGATGATCCGAAACTGAGCTATTCCATCGACACACCAATGGAGAATTGGGACGAGAAGAGACAGGAGTGGCTGAAGCATCATCCCTCGTTTGCCGCCGGAGCAGGGGAACGGGTTCTCCTATTGACGGGATCACAGCCGTCCAATTGTAAGAACCCGATTGGTGATCATTTCTTGCTTAGGTTCTTCAAAAACAAGGTTGACTACTGCCGAATCCACGGCTACGATGTCTTCTATAACAACGCCTTCATGCACCCGAAAATGCCCTCGTATTGGGCCAAAATACCCATTGTCCGGGCCACAATGTTGGCCCACCCGGAGGTTGAATGGATTTGGTGGGTCGATTCGGATGCGGTGATCACTGACATGGACTTTAAGCTGCCGTTGGAGAGGTACAAAGCCCACAACCTTGTGGTGGAAGGGTGGCCCGACTTGATTTACAAGTACCGGAGTTGGATTGGGGTTAATGCTGGGGTGTTTTTGATCCGAAATTGCCAGTGGTCCATGGACTTTATGGAAGCATGGGCTAGTATGGGCCCACAAACGCCAAACTACAAAAAGTGGGGCCAAATTTTGAAATCAACGCTGAAGGATAAGACCTATCCTGAGTCGGATGATCAATCGGCTCTAATTTACTTGATCTTGAAAAAGAAGGATAGGTGGGCGAACAAGATTTACATTGAGAATGAATATTGCTTTCAAGGGTACTGGGAGAGCATAGTGGGAACATTTGATAATGTCACCAATAAGGACATGGAATTAGAAAAGAAAGTCCATGGGTTAAGGAGGAGACACGCTGAGAAGGTGAGAGAGAGTTATGGAGAGATGAGAGAAGATCATCTCAAGATCAATGGATACGGGAAGGGTAGTGGGAGGCGGCCGTTTATCACGCACTTCACCGGGTGTCAGCCGTGTAGTGGCAACCACAACCCTATGTACGCCGGTGATTCTTGCTGGAAAGGAATAGAGAGGGCATTAAATTTCGCGGATAATCAAGTACTTCGTAATTTTGGTTTTGTGCATCCGAACTTGCTGGATTCTTCTTCTGTGTCGCCTTTGCCATTTGATTTCCCTTCACGAGGGATAGATCATTACAAATCTGAGTGATGTTATAAAAATTGTATTTGATAGGGTTTTAGAATTATTATTTGAGAATAGATTTGTATTTTAAGTTTGTGTATTTTATAATTATAATTTGAGTGTGAAAAATTTGTTTGATTATGAATTTTGAAAAGAGTTTAAATTGAGTGATGTGATATATGATATTGAAAAATGAATATTTTAAAAAGTAGGTATACAATTAATTTTTTAAAACTGTAACCAAACAAAACACTCAAACTAAAAGAGAAAATTAAATTTCAAAAACTCGACCAAACATAATAGGATCCAAATATCACATTGTACACTGAGCCATTGCATATATTTTTTTTGCCCTCATTTTCTATATTTAGTACATCTCTTTGCGTCATTATTAGCGTCACTTTTAAGAACTAATAAAGCCTCCGTTTGGGAAGTGGGTTGACTTTTTGATTTTTTGACTTTTTTAATTATTTTAGCCTGGGCTAAAAAGCTTGATTTGGGAAGGGCTTTTTGACTTTTTGGTTTTTTTGACTTTTTTAGTTAAAGAAGAGTGTAATGATTATGGGTTAGATGTGATGTTTTGTTTTTTATGACTAAAATAGCCAAAAAAGTCCGAAAAAACCCTTTCTAAACGGACCCATAATAGGATCAAATTCTTCACAATAATCTTACAATGATAGTTTAAGTCAAAACATAATCAATGGAGATGGTTTAAACACAAACATTCCTGTAATCTATTGTAAGTATATTGTTGCTGAGAATCCTATTCAAAATGTTCCCAAGTGATTCTATTTTAAATAAACTAAAAAGGAAAAGAAAAAAACAATCATCATATTAAGGGATTATTTGGGATGTTCTAAATAAATATACTTTTTGACTTTTACAAAATATGGGTTGGGTTTGAAGTGATGTGGTAGAGAGATGATGTGACTTAAATAAGATGATGTAACTTAAATAAGATAATAATTTTTTGACTTTTTGACGTTTTTAGGACACCCCAAACTAGGTCTAAATAATCTACTAATTATTTACTACAACAGATAAATAGTGCCAGTTATGTTGTGATACGTACTAATAAATAAATTTTTTATAGCCAGCTAAACTGTGAATTATATAATCTTGCTTTTGTGTTCCTTTCACATGGTGTGAGTGAAGTTTCCCTCCACAAGTTCATTAATTTGAAGCTCAGAATGATGAATATGGTAGGGGAATGTACGGCAGAGAAATATTTGCTTCGCTCTGTACCTCCTTGCTGCCAAGCTCGTCTCACTCTATTGGAACTTTGTCACATTGTAAACATAACAAAGGTGAGCTACCCGGAGGGTGGGTTTGCCGGAAAACCCCTCCGACGGTCAAGTTAGCTTTCTGGGAAAAGAGAGAGGGCAGAGCACTGTAGAGAGAGAGAGAGAGAGAGAGAGAGAGAGTTTAAGGTTGCTTACCACTAACATCTGCATGCTCCTTCTTTTCAAGGCTGGCCATGCAGCCTCAGAGATTGTGGGCGCACTACCTTTGTTATCCTTCTTTGAACAGGCGACTGTGCTCCCCTTTACATTTCTTACACGTGTAGAGACCAAAACCTCCAAACAGTGTTTGTCGCATCGCCTAATGGTATTGAACCGAGCAGTGATTCCCCTCTTCTCATCATTGGTCCATGTGGAATATTGAACCAAGCTATTACTTGGTGAAACATAAACATTATGTTGGATAGCTACTGCCGAGCAAAATCAAACCGGTCTATCAGAACCGAATGGATGCGAAGCGCACCGTTCGACATCTCGTCCTCACACAATGATCTCATGGGCCATCTCAGTCCCCACGTCTGCGGTTCGAACCGTCTATAGCTCGGCCCAACACATCCATGCGGACCTAATCAAATCCCATGTTCCGCGGGATCCTAGCTCGGCTAAACATAAGCGTGCCACCATATCCAATGCGGACCTAACTCGGCCTCAACAATGCAACCATGCTCACCTTACATGGCTCAACACCAAAATCCGTGCTAGCATAGTTCGGCCCACTGTTCAATACAAATCTCTCTCTCTCAATTGCCCCTTAATCCCATCTGAGCTTAGCGTAATTGTGATTCTCATTTCCAATCGAGCTATCCCTTTTGGTTGCTCGTCGAGACTTGTGCCAGTAGTCTCGTCATCCATCAATCAGCCGCACTGACAACCCATCATTTGTATTGACAGTCCGTCACCTCCATGCCACTTGCCGTTTTTCTATTCGCTTTGTGCAACCCCATAGTTGTCATCCTTATGTCGAAAATTCAAAAGGTTGCCACCCCTTTGTTTCCCCTCATATATACGCGCTAGAAGACAAACGACCCCCATCACTATTCATCTTATTTCCTACCCAAAACCCTAAACCCCTAAGCTTCTACCATCACTGTCATCGTTGCTGTTGCTCCTGTCGATGTCCTTCCCAGCATTTTCTATCGTCTAGGTCGTTGCAGCAGAGGACGAGGTCGATTGAACCTCGATTTGGCTCCTGAATCTGTGAGTTTTCCTGGTCCCTTTCTTTTTTACATCACTGTTCTTCATGTTCTTCATTTGGGACTGTTGGTATACTGTCGATGCCCCTCTCATGGGGTAAGATTGATAGATATTCGTAGAACCTAAGCAAAACCGGAACCAAAAACATAAATGGGGCCCCCATGTCTTTCATTTCCCTTAATCTTAGTATATAGCCTTGAGTTTAGGATGAACTGATCAACTTCTAGGAAAAATCGAGCTAAATCCCAATTTTAGATCCACAAATAGGATTGAGAAGAGCTGAAAATGGTTTGTGGTCCTTCTAAGCGACAGCGACCACACTGGAAACTTGTAGGGATCATCTAGTCGAGATAAGCGCCAAGTAGTTAGGACAAGGCCCAAATCTAACCTAACATGTTAGGTTTTACAACTGATCTAAAACCCAAACTGAGTCAAGATTGAGAACGCATTAGAACTTTTGCCGAGCTAGGCTTATTTTAGATCCGCGCTATAGACACCCCATTTTTGACCGTCCTCAAGACTTGGTTGTGCTTGTAGGTACACCCAACAACTAGTTCGACTGCTCGCCGAGTACTCGACTATCGCGGCGGAACGTCACCGGTTTGAGCTTCCCGGACCTTGTATCCTTTCTGCCCTATTTTTGGACCTTGGCTAGGTCCTTTCAGAGTGACCCTTTTGGTGCACTGCCGACCATGGCATGGAACTGCCGACCATGGCTTTGCTCCTGCAGGCCATTTATGAGGCCCTGTCGGCCATCAATGAGCCACTGCCGGCCATTGCTGATGGCCGGCACCCCCCCTATCTCAGCTGATTTTCCTCCAGATCTTTTGAGCCAGCTGGATTTTCATTTGCTCCCCTCCATACACGTGTATGGATGGATGAAGGCCTTGCAAAACTTCTTGAAGAAGCTTTGGCTTTTCATTCCTCTATATAAGGAAGAGGCTTCTTCCTTAGACAGGGTTCTGAACTTTTGAAGAGAAAAGACTTCTCTTTCTCTTTATATTGTGTGTGTTTTGTGCTTTGAAGTTGGATTTCCTTGCACTTTTACACTACAACACCTAGATATACACCACCACCATTGAACCAAGCTTCTTGGGAGGTCTTCTTGAGATCTGAAAGCAAGCTTCCATCCTCTGAAATTGCTGGTTTCGAAGAGGGTCTTCAAGGGTGAGCATTTTCCCATTTTTTGTACTTTTTTGCACCTTGCTTTAGCCCTCTTTACATATTGATTTAGGATTTGCCTATAACTGGAAAAAGTCTTGTTTTTAAGTCCTTTTTAAGTTTGGTTAAGGTCATTTTGCTGTTTGGGGTGTGTAGCCCCCTTGCATGCTTTGTTTGGCTTTGTTTTAAGCCATATCTTGAGGCCTCCGAGCTAGCCTTGGTTTGGCCTTCCTACCACTGAAATCCAGTGGATTTTTAGTGGTAGAGGTGTGGTTTTGAGGTCCTAAATCAGAGGGGATAGTCCCCTCTCTTTATGTTCCTCTTTGCTTGTATTTTTGGCCTTCCAAAGGACCATCCCTCTATGCATTTTTGAGGCTTGGTTCAGGCCTATTTTTGTGACTTCTGGAACCTTCCTTGGCCCTGTCCAAGGTTGGTTTGGTCATGTCTTGCTTGCATCTAGCATGTGTAGTGTAACTTCATCCATAGCTCATCAAAGTAGCATGTGTGCTTGGCTTTTGTTGAGTCCATTTCAGTCCATTTTTGGTGATGTTTTACCATGCCATGAACATGTTTTGGGTTGGTTTTGTTACCCCATGCTTGAATGATGCACTTGTAGTGTAAATTCCCTAAACTAGCTTCATATGATCCATGCCATGCCATGTCATTTTAGCTTGTTTGGTTTACATTTCAGCATGTATTTGGTCATCATTTGGCATGTTATGACCCTATCCATAGTTGGTTTAATCATCCTTTGCATGCTCCATATAGGTGTAGAACAAATCATGTTTACTAGCCCTTTGTGCATGATGTTTTGACTCATCATACTAGCATATTTTGGCTTTGCTCAAACTTGATTTTATGCTTATTTTGAAGTGTTCTAGGACTGTTTTGGGCTGCCATAGCCATATCACTTGTGCTTTGTATAGCTATAGTGTAACTGCTTAGGCTAGTCTTGGGTTTTGAGGCCCCTACCATGCCATACATGTGATGTTTGCATGCCTTGCCCTCATTCCACATGCTATTTTAGTCCATGAAATGTTGTCATACACTTGCATTTGACATGCCTTGAATGCTTTGTATAGCTTGTGCTTTATGCCTCAAGAATGGACTTTTGCACTCTGTTTTTGGTTGTCCAAGTCATGCCATGATTGGTTCTAATAGGTGCAGTGCATTGCCTCTTTTGTAGCCTTGCATGTCCTATGTTTTAGCATTGTATGCTAGCTTGCTTTGGCCTACTTCCATGCATGTTTTAGTCTCATATCAGTATGTACTAGGACTGTTTTGGGATGCCCTTGCCATATCCTTCATGCTTCGTATAGCTGTAGTGTAATTGGCCTTGCAAGCTCGTGTTCCGGTGATTCACGCATGCTATCCTCGAGCTATTTAAATGATTTGGCATCATTTATCATCTCATTTCAGTGCATATAGTGTTATTACACTTGCACTTTTGTCACTTCCTAGGAACTTTTGAGAGTTGCCCTTTCAGGCC